GTTCATTTAGTTAAAGTGACTTCATGTAACATACTTTTAATGCCTGGGCTTACTTTCTGTGCTGCTAATAATAGCTTGCATGTATAAACCTGGCAATGCAAATTAAATAGAAGGTTACTAGTGAGGCAGAGGGGCTAACGATCTGACATGCAATAGCTAGAAACTTCATAACAGCCCTGGAGAGGAAGTTTTTAACACTCATTATTTTCTCACCATCCAGCTTAATTCTGGAGACCCCATTCAGTCTTTAGGTAGCTCAACATTCCCCTTATTGCTTACAACACTAATGTGGAAGTTATGATACCAGAAACTCAGGCTGCTGGCCCTCACAAAGTTTATAGCCCCATAAAAAATATCACATTTCAGAGATCAGAACAAAGTTTTCTTGTTTTTTAACATAGACAAAATGAGTTGGGGGTGGTACTGAAGAAGCTATTTCTATGCTCTTTGCTGTTGTAAATTTCAGAAAGCAACCAGTCGAGTTCACAGCATCTATGAATGGGATACTTCTATACTCATAGCTGCTGTAATCCCCACAGAGCCAGAAAGAGATTATATTACAAAGGACAATGAACTACTATAGCAATTGCTAGTACAAACTCCATAGAGAAGACAGAGTGCACAATGTTGTTGAACTGGTGCCCTCTGAAAGTCACACTCTTCATTCCAATATTATTTAGTAAATGTTAATTATTTCCAAGTCACAGAAATCTCTTTCAATGCATATCATATCATATCACATCACATCACCATAGCAATTATTTAAGACCTCAACTGTAGAATCCCTAGCCTTTATTCCATAAAGCACATTTCCATGCACTTTAAACACTATTTTAAAAACTTCAAGGTCAGTTCTCTCTTTCTTTATTTGCCATGGTTCAACTGCTGTTGCTGCAGTAAAAGACATCACAGCTATCCAAAACAGCGAATATGAGATTTGCATGTTCATGATATCATTGGCTGTTAGAAGCCCTAAGTGTGACCCTGAAGGCAAGTTCTGGTATGCAGGCAATTAAGGTGATAGTGGTTTTCAAATATAATCTCTTCAATGGAGAAACCAACATTTCATTACCCAGGCAATACACAGTTTGTTTGTCTTTACTCATTACAGCACATTCCCCAAAGGTAACTCAGCATTCATTCATATTCTGTCTCTCCAGCAGCCACCAGAACGTGCCTAGGGAAGGCCTACGGCACATAATCGACCCTAGAAAGTCTTCTTTAACAATAAAGTATTACTGCAGTGTATTCTTTTTAATTTACATGCCTAAGGTCACACGAGTAGTACAGGTGACATAAACATCACAAAGAGAGGTAAACACAAAGCATGATAGGTAAATTATGACCCTCAGTGATTTAAAAGGCTCCTCATGTGATGTACAAATACCTGTCTGCATTTCCTTCTATGTTATTCATATACATACATATATATACGCACACACGTATGACAGGTCGAAGAAACTGGATGAGTTTGAAAGCATCTTACACACATTGTGGATTCCTCCTTGTCCAGCATGCATTTTTGGTTATTGTGGCATTAGCAGTAACAGTACCTTTGTGCATAAGTCAGATGTGTCCACCCCATTGCTGACTCAAAAGCACATGGAATAAGTTAACTGGAACCCTAAAGTCCAACTACTGTGGATGAGGGACAAGGAAGATGTCTTGTGAGCATCTGATCCTTCGATTAAAGTCCTCAAGGAGTACCCAGGTGATGGCTTTTGTATCAAACATGCAAAGCCATCATTTGACATAATTCACTTTGCTCCATTTAACCTGCTGAATCCTTTACTATATCTAGTGCTTTAGCATGTCCAAGCAGAACTATGGTCCATCTTAAACATTTTCAGAAGACATGAGACAACATCTGTTAGACTTGCTGCACTTCTTATAAACTGCCTTGTTGCCAAATGCCATTTGAATTTCTTACAGGTCAAATTCAGTAAGCAAACATTTCATCATCTCCACTGCATATTGGAATTGCAATTTTATATAGCAAATCCTCATTTCTGCTTCTGGGCACACAAAAGACAATTTCTTCTAGTTAGATTATAAGAGTAGACATACTGCATCAGACCCCAAGTCTCGTTTAGTCCAGTACCCTGTCTTCCACAGCAGCCAACAGCACAATGTTAAGGAAGGAGCAAAGAAAACAGAAGTATTGAATTATTTTACACACATGGGCATCAACCAACCATGTCTTAACAGCTTCCTCAGCTGGGGTCTACTATATTGTATTTAAAAGCTGCCAGTGGTCCTTGACTTACTTTGCCTAAACACTTTGATACATTTATCATTTTACATCCACAGAATTCAACAGAGATGTATTCAGAAGGTAAATGTAATTTTTTTTCTTCCTTTTATAAGCCACATCCACCTTGGTTATCTTAGTGTTGGATCATTTTCCTCAGGTGACATCATAAACAGTTATTCGTTCTTTGCCATCCTCACTCCACTCTTGAGTCTACTCATCTCTGATAAAACCCACTGAAAAACTGGATAGAAAGTGCATATTCTGATTTACAAGGAGGAAAAACAACCGAACAACCACCATCAAACCCAAACAACAACAGCCACCACCAAAACAGAAATTCTCTTTGGCCTAACTAGCTTGCACCCCATGTAGTATCTCTAATGAAGGCTGCACGTTCATTTTTCTATCCTTTGAAACAGATTCAGCTGTAGGGCAGGGAAGGGATCTGGATCTAGGACAAATTGTAGGGTTTTTTTTTCCTCTGCCTTTTTATAAGAAAAAGTTGAATAGGATGGGAAGAATTTCTTTCCATTAGCAGAGCTGAGAAAGAAAATCCTTGGGTATTAGGTAATTTGTCTCAGGGTTGTCTGCCATCATTTTCCCTATAGAGAAAAAAATGCATCTTGGAACAAAAGAGAAATGCTGGTGGATGTCAAACATTTAGAGGAGAAGATCACAGGCTGCAGTGGAGATGGCAGGCCTGTGAGCAGTGCCAAGAGCAAGTGATGCATAAAATCATTAAATGTGAAGGGCTGGGCAACAGTGCCTAGACTTATCTGGAAGTTTAATCAGAGAGAAGAATTGCGAAAGAAAAGAATAGAGATGGCTGAAGGCTGCAAAGTTATGTGTTTGACCTTTTATAACAAACTCCCCCTTCTCCCCCCAGCCAGGAGCAAGGGTAAAAAAAAAAAAGAAAAAGAAAAAATTGCCCAGGTAATCTCAGTGCATTATTGTAGTTATTATTGAATGAGTGTAGACTTATTTCTCTCTGGTTTTCTCAGGAACACAGGTGTGGCTACAGTACAGGCTGACAGCTGTTTGCTCAATTCTGTCTCCACTAAGGGAGACGGGCTTTTATTTTTAGCTTGCAGAAGATGCAAATAGCTTACCAGAAATGCTTGAGCCAAGAAACATGTGTCTCTAAGTTACTAGCATCACTGGGCAGGCTTTAAATAGCAAAATTCTGCAATAAGATTGAATGATTTCATGCTGGAGGACCTGCTGTAAGACAGGCAGGCTGCATCCCTTCCTCCTCCAAGTCAGTAGCTGCTCTAACATTCACCATACTCCATACAAATATGGGTTCTCAATGGACACGGACTGTGAAGATGAACACACTACCCTTAAAGAGGAGTACAAACCTGCTACCTGCTTTTCCGCCCATCAAGCTCCTTGTGGCCACACTGGGAGCTAAATGACAAATGAGCTTTGTCATTCTGATCTTTAAATGCCATCTTCCAGAAAGCCTTTCCTACTCAAAAGGAAGACTTGGAGGCCCACTGAGGCTGAGTGGGACACAGTATAGCACAAGTTGGCTGTTTTTTCCCAAAAGGAGAAGGTGAGATAAAGTGCCTTAAAATGGTTGCTGTTGAAATTAATAAGTACACTGAGCTACAATTCTAGCGTTGATAAGCCAAATAAAAATCATGGCAATCTGGTTCGAGGAAACATCAAGTTGTAGTTCAGATCAGTGTTTAGCATGTAGCTGACAATCTCATTTCTACTTACAGAGAAGACAATGCCTCATGTGATAAATTAAAGCAAACACCGACCATTCAATTACAATGGTGTTTTAGGCTGGTACATCACTTGCACTTCAAAAGTCATCTCACAGTTTTTGACTGCCTGCAAGCAGCAATGAGTCCCCATCACTGACAGGCACCCAGTTATGAAGGGCTACCACACAGGGTTTGTGGGAACCAAGCATGGAATGGGCAATCCAAGAGATCTGTTCACACTCTCAACCCTGGGTCCTGAAATGATTCTTGGTTAACAAGCACTGCCTGTATGAAATAACTTCAGGAAGGCAGCAGTGAATCAGGTTCTTATCACCATGCAGTAAAAACCCAGCTGCCCATACAGCACTCAAGCAAATTGCAGAAGGGTAGAGAAAGGGGCATGTATGTGTCCGAGGCAGTCATTCTTCTTTGCATTGTCTACCCAAAGGAGACAAGACAGTACTAATATCAAAAACTCTCCCACGTCTAACTTAAGAGGACATGGAGCTTTAAAAGAAAGTTTTGCTCTCAAGGGCAATCCTTACCCTCCATGTGAACTGTTGGGAGCTGAGTGCTTCCAAAATTCTGCCTCATGATGGAGAAAAGTAGGAACCAAACCCTCCAGACAACTTGACCTGCACCTCCTTCCTTACTCATTCAACCATTTATTTACTTCCATGAAGCAAACCCATCTCTACACGCTTTGGACTTTGTCAACCTTTTTCTATTGGCAGAACCCTCTTCACAACTTGCAGGCAATGTGTTCATGCAGTGTGATAAAGTTTAAACAAAAAAGTGTCCTGCAGGTCAGCCCATGATCTTCCTGAACATGCTATGAATCTTACCCATAACAACGCTGAAACAGCACAGTCCACATTTAGCTCTGAATCACAGAGACTACTACTAACACAATCAATAGAAGTTTAGGAAAAGGTTCTTCCCTAAACTCCAGCACTGCATTGGATAGTGATCACACTAAAGAGCACCCACCAGGGTAAAGAGGGCAACTCCTTACCTTGCAGACTAACTTAGAGCTTCAACAGCTGGACCAAAAGATGCTTCAGATTCTTGCAACAGGACTTCTGAAACAGAGAACAAAGAAAAAAAATTGCAATTTCTTATGCATAAATAGACATCTGAATACAACACAAGATTAATGAGAGTCACAGAAGTAGATTGGATGACATACTTTACTTGTAAAGGAATTTTCAGCAGCATGCTCCTTCTAATCTTTCACAGAAATGTGTGGGGATGCACAAATTGTGAAGTGTTCTTTGTCAAGTGGCATTTTCGTATCAATGGCCTTTGAAAGGCCTCCCATAAAACCAGGGATAAACACAAAAGGTTTAATCTCTTTTGCTTCCCCCAGCATTTACACAAGTGGCTGATATGCAGCCTGGGTATTCTGGGACCTGATTTTCAGGGACAGAAGAGTTAAAATTCAGAGCCTCACAAAATTGAGAAAGATCAACTGAAGCTTCTAGGAATAACAACTAGGATCTGCAGGGTTTTTCTTAATATTTTGAGGGATCTTAGGATACTAAGGGATACCCTATAGGAATATGGTTTTTTTTGTGAACACCAAGGTTAAGTTAGAGCTATGACTCAATTTCTCTCCTTCCAACCCCCCCCCCCCCTTTTTTTTTTTGGCTAAGTAACACTATTTGATCTCTCTTCACCAGCAATTTTTTACTTATTTTTTTAGGGAGTACATTGCTAATCTAGTATATCAGAGAAACCGCACAGTGCCATATGCAGCATGAGCCAAACTGTTAAAAAGCATGAGAAGAAAAAAGGTGATTAAAAGCACTGTTGTTTCCTCCCTTTTACAGGGTAATGATTGAGGCAGCACATAACTCTGGGGGCAGTGGCTGGTGTTACCGTCAGTCCTGGGTACAAAAGCGACCCCAAAGTAGTTGTGTGTTCTTCTGAGGACGCTGCCCTGAGTCTGACTTCACATTCCAGCTCTGAATACACAGCGCACAGTGGGCTCTGTTTGGCCACTGGCTCTCCCTGCAGCTGTGCCGATTGCTCAGTGGGGAACATGTCTGTTCTCGAAAAGAATTTAACAAATTAACTATGAACAAAGCAGCCTGGAAACGACACAGATTAACACATGCTGTGTCATGCCAAGAAGCAGCTTGTCAGCTTGTTGTTTTCTCAAACCTGAAAGGAAAATTCCCAGGACCCACCAAAAATATGGAAATGTTTCCATGTTTAGCTGTGTTAGAAAAGAACACAATTGTTGCTGAGGAGAAATAAGAAACACACGGCCCAGATAAAAAGAGTGTATAACAGGACTCCTAGGAATAATCTGCAGCACAAAAAAGAATAAACATGGGAGAATCTGCTGTCTTTGTGTAAACTCCGCAACCGTGGGAGATGCTAAGGATGAATTTGGGAAACATCACCTACGTATTTTCTGTTAACAAGCAGAGAAGACAACCCAAACATGAAAGCTCATGGATGTTTAGCCCTCTTCGCTGCTCTCCATGAAGGAATAGCTAACCACTTTAAGTACTCTCCTGAACATATGAAATGGATGTCTGCATTAGCTTGTAGCATACCTTTAGCAAATACAGATCTTCAGGGGGGCGCACCACAGAATATTCCAGATCTCTTTAAGGCAGAACAGATGAACCCAAATTGCGTTTATCATAGTCTGAGATAAAGTAATTATTAAGACATAACATAAACATTAGCTGTTTTTTTAAGCATTAGAAATATTGCTAAGTAGATGAAAAAAATATTTAAGCAAAGCACTGCTCAGAAAAACGTAAGGTGTATTGCTTCTCTGCTACAGTAGAGGAGCTGCATGAAACAAGTTTTGAAAGTGATAAGTCAGTCAGAATGACTTAAAAAATAAAAACGGCAAAACGACCACGTGCTTTCATGTTCGGGTAACCTTCTGTGATTCCCTTGAGGGTGGTGAGGAGCTGGAACAGGTTGCCCAGAGAAGCTGTGGCTGCCCCATCCCTGGCAGTGTTCAAGGCCAGGATGGATGGAGCTTTGAGCAACCTGGTCTAGTGGGAGGTGTCCCTGCCCATGGCAGGGAGTTGGAAGTAGATGATCTAAGGTCCCTTCCAACCCAAACCATTCTATAAGTTAAAATATACACGAAGACCTAAGAGTAGATGGGAGCCTTCTACCACCAGGATCCTATTGGCCCTGGCAATGGTCCCCACCATGTGGCTGTCTGGTTCAGGAGCTGTCCTGTGTTAGACACCCCAAAATGAATTAAAGCGCATGCAGCCAAAATATTTTTAACATGCTGGCCACATACTATGAGTTTACTTGTTGGCCATATCCCATGCAGTAACAAACCCAGAATTTGCATATCAAATGGGCATTTACCATATTTACCATCTCTTTTTCAAAGGTCATTTTGAAATAAATGGGTTTACTCAAAGGCATGAAGGTTTCTCCTGTCAATAGTGCTCAGAGGCTTTAACTCACCTGCACAGCTCAGAAGACTTTCATCAGTACAAAGAATCTGTTTTCATCTACCACAGTATTCGATTTCAGCACACAAAGAAGCAATATTTTACGCTGCCTAGTTTATGCAAGGTGAAAACAGATTTATTTTGATGGTGATAACCTGAAATGTTAGTTTTCCCCTATGAATGAGAAAGCTAAAATTACTCAAGAGTGTACTTGGTGCATGTGTCCTCTGAACTTATTTCTTTGCTTTCATTATGAAAGAGGTGAAGCAGAGAAAGCTCAATAGTTGGGGGAAGGTCATTTTGATGCTTTCTTTAATAACAACTCCTACCCTTGCTGTGGCTGTATAGCAGCAGTGCTTTTTTGTTTTGGAGTGGGGAGGGGGCGGGGTGGCAACCAGTGGTTACAGATTAATCTTTCTTGTCAAATCCAGACCATATTTTATTTCACAGAATGAGGAACACCACCTCACAACAGTTACTAGAGGCTTGGGGCTTCCCAATTTGAGGAGAGAAGGGCAATTTCATAGGACATTTCAATACAACTGCACATTTGGACTATTAATGTAGAAGCTAATGAAAACAAGGTCTAAAAAATAGGAACCAGCAGTGAGTCATCATTTTAGATATTCTTAGGTTGAATAATTTATTGTTTTCATCAGCCTGTTGCCAAAAGAAAACACACTGCGGTACCCTTTAGAGAACAAATACATTTTTCTCAGAAAATGAACATCTACAGAAACCTGGCATGAGGGAAACTGAAAGGTAACCATTTGGAAAGGACAAGAGCAAAGTAAATTAAAATTTCATCAATTGGACAGTGAGTTTCATCTGACAGCTGTATTTGATATTAGTCTATTTCCTGACGTATTTGAACTTGCCTGTTGAACTAACCAGAGAAGGACGTATGAAGTGCCAGCAGTAAAAGCCACTGGAAATACAGAGCTCCTCTTTGGCTTTCACATTGTTCATCGACTATCAGTGGCTTCTAAAAATGCAATTCCACAGCTATCAGTTTGTGATCATTTGGCCAGATTGCAGATAGTTTTGAATCTTGTTAAGAGCTCGGAAGTGTAGGCGTATTACAGTGTGTGCTTTCAGCCCGCCAAACCTTTCTGTCTCTAAGTAGGAGTAATTGAAGAAGCCACCCATCAGTTCCTACTCTAGTTAAACCTGAGTAACTAGTAGATATTATGCTTGCAGTGCCACACATCAAGGCATGTGAAGGAGTAGAGTGGAGTTTTCCACTGCCTGTTTGTGAATAACTTCAGGTTTGGGCCTCATGATATCTTGATCAAGTCACTACTGCTCAGTTTTTTTTTCAGAAAATAACAAATTGATTGCTTTCAGTGGTGCAAACTGACTTATTTCATATTAAAGAGGAAAAGGTAAATTTATCCAAGATGTCAATCTTGCAAACAGTCTGCCAATGAGAAAATGAAACAGCATCCCAATGCATGATGCCCTTTTCCTTTTGTTCACTGTGGGCATTAACAACACAGGTGGATTTCAAGGGATACTGAAAGCACACCTACTAGGTTTCAATTTTTATTTCCTACACACAAGATGATGATCATTTTTGCAAGACAACAGGCAGCACATGTTTATCTGAGCACATTCGTAACAGGAGGCACGGCAGCCTTTTTCTTGCGGCCCAGAGTATGCTTCAAACACATGTAACAAGGCAGAATGAAAAGGAACAAAAGAAGCCTTGAAGGAATGATTAAGTGCTTCTGAATTTACACAGTGAAATATGGACAGTTAAAATGTCCCAGCTATTTGCTTCTGTTCAGCTGCTGAGCAGTTTCAAACACACCATGGCGCAGTAAGATGAGTTTTGCATGCTTTTAGCCTGCTTGGGGTACCAAGGAGAGCGAATTGCCACAGAATCTCTATTTGCCAAAGCAAAAAGTATCTCATTAATGTATGATTAATAGCCATTTGTGAAGCAATTAATTAGTCAAGTTGACAGTAAACTTCACCAATATACATGCTTTTACAATGCTACAGGTTTGCTTTAAAACAAGTAGAAAAAGAAAAAAAGGTCCTTTCTCATTCTCAACCCTCTAGAAAGGAATGAAGGAAAAAAAAAGGAAGGGGGCTTTGCATATTCTGGTCTTGTCTGACTTCATCTGGTGTGTCTTTAAGAGCAACATTGCTGGAATAGAAGCTCTCTAACATGATTGATGGCTTCTCTTGCTATCTGCAAGTTGAAAATTCAGAAAACGGGTATTTTTTCATAGGCCTCTCTGCTTATTGGCACAAGAGTTATTTCCACTTTGCTGCAGAATTGATTTGCAACACCAGCATATGAGTTTGTATATTTTTCTCACCAGCCTGTCATGAAGGATCACTCAGCAAGCCTTCGGTGGCATGATGAATTGTGGAAATGAGAGCCTCACAACTTCGTTTGCTATCAAAGACTAGGATAATTGTCATTAACTTCTGCAAGTAGTGGAGCATCTGCATCCCTGCTCTGAATGTCTGCATTTTGCAAAGCATATTACACAGCAGATGTACAAAGCACATACTGCCATGCTAATTTAATTTCATTCCAAGCAAGAAGCCAGACACCTTCCTTCAGAGAAAGCTGTCTTACCCCTCTAGTAAAAGAGCTTAAAGGCAGGCTTCTGGGTTGCATG